GGGGGATATAAATAAATTAATTTTATATGAGAGTAAAATATGACAGATAAGATTGTGTCAAATAATACAGTAAAGAGACAATCTGAATAATGAAAAAATATTATCAAATTATTAATTTGATAAAAGATTAAGTGACACAACATCGAGAGATTTAAAAATGGAAAATATGATCTGAATAGATGTTCCTTAGTAGAAGTTATACAAACAGCCACAAATATCTGAAGAAATGCTCATTGAGAAATGCTGGTGAGAATAGAGCAAGGGGAATATCCACACACTACTGGAGAAATTGTAAATTAATAAAGTCACCATCAAGTGCCTTAAAAAGCTGAAATAGAATTACTACATGATCCAGCAATTCCACTTCTGTCTATGCGTCCAAAAGAAAAGACGTCAATAAATCGATGAGAGAGTTATATTCTCACATGCATTGCAGGACTATTCATGGCAGAATATCAGTGCTTTTGTCTGGCAAATGAATGGCCACAGCATTTTCACAATGAAACATTGTCAAGCCACACACACACACACACACACACACAAGAATGAAGTTATTTGTGGCAGTGTAAATACAATAATAGGATATTATCATAAACATAGAAAGATAATACCACACAAGTCATAACTTACATGTGGAAGCTGAAAGCATTGATTTCACAGCAGCAGAGAGCAGGAGAGTGGTCATTAGAGGTTAGGAATGGTAGCCGGGAGGAAGGACACAGGAAGACTAGATAATGAATGCTGAAATGTCATTAGGCAGTATAAATAACTTCTAGTGTTCCACAATACCATGACTGAAAGCCACAGGAACCTCTAATATATTTTTACCAAGAACTAGAAGTGATGGACTTGAACTTGACATTTTATAATACAAAAACATGATAAATATTTAGTAATATAGTGTGATGGTTAGAGTTGTCAACCTGATAAAACCTGTAATCACCCAGGAAGTGGGCTCTAGGCATACCTGTTAGGATTGCCTTGACTGTGGTGTGTGAAGACCCAGATGAACTGTGGATGGGATTGGAGCTGTGGAGAAAGTGAGCTGAGCACTCGCAAACACATTCATTGCTCTCTTCTACTGACTGTGGACAGAATGTGACCAGATACTTCAGGTTCCTGCTGTCTAAATTTCCCATGATATGTGTTGAACTCTGAGCTAAAATAAACCTCTTATCCCTTAAGATGCTCTGGCCAGAGTATTTTATCAGAGCAATGGTAAGGAGACTAAGATAGATGGAAATGCTAATTATGATGCTTTGCTCTCTACATGTTGATTTATGAGGTTGCATCTCACAAATATGTACAATTTACGTAAGTTCAGTGGAGCTTAGACTCAGAGAAGCAGAGTGTGAAATAACAATCCTAGTCACTTGTATACTTCCTACAATTGCTAGTTATACCTTTGTCCTGACAAGGAGAGGAGAGAAGAAAACACTAACTGATAAAAAGCTATTATGCAGAAAAAAAAAGTTCTTGTGTACTGCTTGATACAGTGATCATAATTAATAAAAATGGGTTGCACATTTAAAATAGCTAGGAGAGGATTTTGAACATCTCCCTCAATAGTGATATATGTTTGAGGTGGCACATATGTTAAGTGTCTTCATTAAATCATCATAATAGGCGTATGTGCCAAAACATCACATGTTACTTGACAAATTTGTGTGAGTATCTATCAATTAACATTAAGATTAAACTAAATATTTTTTTTATATGTGTTAGAAAATCAACTTTCACTGGAACTCTGCCGAAGTGTCTGGGATAGACTTCCCTTGAATCTAAACAACTATCAAATTGCAATGAATATATAAAGTGACTGGGAAATCAGCAGCACAAATGAGTGACACGAGACAGAAGAAAGACCTGTGAAGTAGGATGCACCTTATTATCTCCTAATGAAAGACCCCTGCCTCACCCTAAGTTAAACATAGCTAACGCCATTTTGTGAGACACCACTGTTTTGTAAAACTCTGAAGGCCAGATGAGAAACTGGAAAATTACTGAGAAATCTAGCTGTGTCACCCACTTGGGATATCTGTGGTCAGGCTGCCCCTGTTGAGTTAAAAACAACTTGTTGTGACTACCCTCATGGGATATCTGTCAGAGGTTGTTCCAGCTGAGATAGGGAAAAACAAAATAACAGGTGGCCACGTTAAGGGGTGGTCAATCTTGGTGTCCCTGCCAAACTTTGACGCAAACCGTGGTCTCATGTAAACGTACCAATCAGCCCCCTGTAACCATGCTTCTCGCTTCTGTACCCATGCTTCTGCTCTAAAACCCTATAAAAACCCCAGCTTTTCACCCAGGGGGCGAGAAAAGTCATTCGAATGGCTTTTCGCCCCGGGTACCCGAGTATCCAATAAAAGCCTCTTGCTGTTTGCATCCGAACGCCTGGACTCGTTGATCCTTGGGAGGGGGTCTCTCAGACGAAGGATACCCTCCAGGGATCTTTCACTTCTACCTGGAAATAGACGATTCCAATGCAGGAAGACAGAAATCATGCAGAAATGTTTCCCCTAGATCACCGAGGCAGAGAGGCCAGCTTAGACATCTTTAGGAGGCCACGAAATAAGTTACATCTTGGGAGATGGAGCTGTGCTGCAGCTGTGTTCCCTACGAGGACTCCGGTCCTGGAGGTCACTAAAGTGAATTCTACCACAGTCAAAAGGCTGCCCACATTTCAGGGAATTAGAGATTCACATGCCTAACTCAAAATGAGGATGTTTGTGGCATGAATTTTGGACTATATTAATATGTAGGAACTGGTACCTCTGCCACTAATTTCTATGGGGTGAGGGGACTGCTAAAATACAGAAATTCAACAGCAATTTATCAAAAATTGATTTGAAAAAATGTTATACAAAACTTTACATCATGCAGGAGTGATTAAAATGTTATCTGATTAAAAATTTAACCTTGAGTTTCCTTCCTGGTGAAATGACATTCTCTAATGCCTTAGAGACTGAGGTTGAGAGTTTTGTTAAAAGATTTACAAGACAGAGGTGATTTTTTTTCTAAAACAAGTGTTTTAGTGTGATAACACCTAAAGTACTTTACTAGATGTATAGATTATTTATAAAATAATATTTATTGAAGATTTAGGGTGAGAGTTGTGTTAAGGCACAAAATTTTGTATCGGCCCTATAGATTTGGATGAGGGTTTTCTTTCTAAAACCGCACTCCACAAGTGCCTGCACATACGTGCACAAACCTACACACTGATGCACATGTATACGTAAATCTAGAAAAAGCAGAAAGAAATTTACACATTAAATAATAATTTCAGGGTATGAGTTACTACATTATACCAACATTATTTCACAGCTTTTGATTTGACAGATCATAGCTTGCTTTGTGGACTACTACATTTATCAGGGAGTACAAGCGAAGAAGAGCTACAGAAAAACATATCTGTGTAGTGAAAGAGGAATCTGCTTCAGGAAGCATCAGGTAGGCATTCAGTAGAATTCACCTGAATTCAAAATGTAAAGATTGTAAAGATTAAAAGTTATGTAGCCTTGTTGAAGAACATACCCTTAGCATGTATAAGTCCGTAAAGTCAAACACACACACACACACAAACACACACACACACACTTTAACTTTTTTCAAAAGTTACTCATGTAGAAAACATCAGCTGCCACTAAATCATTTGTGCCTGGTCTAAAAGGTAGAGAATTAAAACAAACAACTTTTAAGTGTGTGTTCAAGGTGTTGCTAGCTTTATGATAGAACTAAATGAAACAGGAGAACACCTGCCTGCAGTTAGGACTCGTCTAAACTGGCAGATGTCACCCAAAAGCCAAGCCCAGAGCTGTGTGGGAAAAGGTGATTTTGATAGCAGTTAAGTATTCCATGGCTGTAAGGCTTTATGCCTTTCTTGTTTGTTAATATTTTCAGCCAAGTTTCATTATAAATTGGAACGCAATGTGATGGCTGGGGCTCTGGAAATCAGGTGTGCCTTTGACAGAGTATGAATGTCATAAGGTCACTTTCTAAATTTGACTCTCTGTCAGCTATTTTCTTTCTTTTTTCTTAATTCTCCTCTCCTCCTGGCCCTACCCGCCCTTCCTCTTCCTTCTGTTTCCCTCTCCTCTACAGCTCAAAAAAGGAGGGCCATGTCGTTTTGTATTTCCCAGGAGGCCCCAACACTGCGGGTCAGAAGTGAATGCTTCTCCCGAGGGAAGGTTCCAGTGCTGTTGGCTTCTGCTTGGAAAAGAGTAAGGCTCTCCCAGGACCGCCAGTCTCTGGGCTGGGAAGGGTGAAACACAGAACCAAGATCTGCTGCCAGAAGATCTCCAGTTCATCCAGAGGTTCTGGAGAAAGATTTCTCCACAGTAACTGTTACTGCTCTTTTAGCTTGGCTGCCAGCAGTGGGCCAGGTGGCACTGGGAAGCTCATGGCTCTGAAAAACAGCCTGACTCCGTGAGATCAACCGGTGACAGAGGCTCAGGCTCCAAGCCTCTTGACACAGAGGCAGCGGCAGGAATCCGGTTAGGTTTGAGGAGAAGGAATGGCTGCTTTGAGAACAGCCAACTACCTGCCTTCACAGATGATCACTGCAGTAGGAGGAGCGGCTGCAGAGAGATGGAGCAGGTGAATGGCAGACGTTCAGGGCAGCCAGCAGCTCATGGTGACGAGTCTGCTCCTTTTGGTAGCATAACTATAGCCATTTCTGTTTCAGACCCAGCCACATAGTCTTCAGCCTGTTGCTGACAGAAAAAATGAATCTCTGTACAAGGTCAGGTGACCAGAAACTGTGTGTATGTTCGGCATACTGTTGCTGTGTTACTTCTACAAATCCCCCAATATAAACGCAGCTGGCCCTAGCCATAAACATTACTTGGGCCAATCAAATTAAAGGTCAGTTAAAAGCCAACATTTGGCACGTTAACCCGGAAGCCAAGCACTCACACCTGTAACCTGTTTGGGGCTCTCACTGGTAAGCCTGTAGGCCTGAATCTCATCTGTTCTGAGACCTAAAAGAGGAGAGCTGGACGAAGCTCTCCTAAGGTCAGAGGTCCAGAGACTTCCCAGCCCTCTCCGGTTCCCTTGGGGAACATCTGGAACCTGCTCAGCCAGATGCTGTCAAAGTCTCCCGACTATGTTGTTTTCGTCTCCCCTATCTGCTTTATTGTCTTGTCACTCGGCTCACTGATGTCAGATTTTGTTTCTGACTATACTCACCCCCCTCACCAGAATCTCGGGAACATTGTCTATCCTGGAAAACCGCTAATGTCCTGCCAGCTCCAACGGCCAGTCTTTCAAACTGGCTGGCCGTTCGAGGGCTCACTTAACCTGTGTGATTTATCTGCGGTGTGAAATGTTATCTTCGGATTCCCTGGGCATCCAGACCGGGTTCCACACTTGGGTGCCTGGATTTTCCTGGTGGAGAAGCCCCCTCATGTGTTCCCATTGGGGAAGCACCTGGACATGCTGGTCTGTTCGTGTCTGTCAATGTGTTTACGGTTTCAGTTAGTTCGATTGTTGTTCTGTGTCTGATACTCAGAAAATGGGCCAAACTTAGTCTGCTGGCCATTCACCCTTTTGGACTTGGACAGGACACTAGTCCCCAAGCGACGCGCTCTGTCTTTGAAATTCAGCTTTATCGGTCTCTCTCCATGTCAGTTTATTCTTCATATTCTGGGGAAAAGGCCAAACTTCATCTGCTGGACTTAGTTTTAACTCATTTCGAGGCTTTTCAGGAAAGAGAAGATAGCTGAACTGAACTATCCCTGCCCTTGGAGCCCCGCATCTGCGCAAGCCCAGAATCTCCTACCCAGATCAAGCTGGCGGCAGGCCTGGAGCTGCCTGTACAAGCTGCTCTTAGAGGGGCACCGCGAGCTCCCCAGCTTCTCTCCTGAGAAAACTCATGGCTGGTTCTGCTACAAAGCCGCTGTGGTCACGAGAACTGGATTCAACAGTTAGCAAGGCGCTCCTCCCTTGAAATTACAGCTGGAAGAAGGAAGAGAAGTTTTGTCTGTCTGTTTTGAATGTGTAAATGTATGTATGGACACTGCACGTTTATTTCTGACCGGCCTTAAATTTGTAAGTTTACTATATTCCGTATGTCTTGGTTATAGATTTTTGGTTACTGGGTATGTTAAAAAGTTAGCTTAAACTTATAACTTAGGGTTGGAGCCGTTCTAAACAACAAATGGCACGAGCCAACTAAAGAAACAGGTCTCCAAATGTACTTTTAAATTGGGATAAGATTTTACCCTAACTTCTGTCCTGTCTTAAAAGCGAGGTTTATAAGAAATAAGATTTGAAACCCTGCCTGATTAATGAGGTATTTATTAGAGCTGCACCTCCATGTGTCTGTATACAAGAACCTTTCTTGCTGGTAGCCAACAAGAAAAGTTTTATATCATCAAAACAGTGCAATTGGTATTGATTTTAGAGACACTGAGTTATTTACACTGAAAGAGTTTGATTTTGACTTCTAAAACTATGGTTATGCTTCACTCTTAAAAAGGTACTTTACTTTGATATTGCAAAAACAGGTTTTTAAAAATGTTTAAGGCAATAAAACATTTTAAAGTTAATCAGGTATTTCATAAAAATGTCTTTATTGATATATGAGCTTGATAAATATATGAGCTTTATTGATATATGAGCTTGGTAAATAGATAAATTTAAAATGGTTTAACTATCTCTAAAGCTAATTTCTTTTTACTGCAAATTACCCCCCCTGTGTGGTTACTAATTGTATTAATTCCTCTTGGGGAGAAAGAAAAAGGAGTCTTGTTTGGGGAAATCGGCCTTCTTATGTCTTATGACCCATAACTCTGAGTCAGCCTACACTGGTTATCTTCCCAGTGCGTTACTGGACCCAAAAGATCGGTGGCTGCTCTTATATTAGAAATTACTGCCCCAACTGGAATTTGGAGCTCAGTCATGGCCTCTGTCACAGCACTAGTTTAACAGGTTCATACTGCAGAACATGTTAATCAGCTTTCAAAAAATATGTCCTTGGCAGGAATCATTCAAAGAAAATTAATAAAAATCTAAAGGATAAGATACATGCTCTGGAAAAGCAATTATATTTATGGATAATCAAATTCAAAATACTAAAGTTAGATTAATTGTTCCTGTCATTTTCTGCTTAAATGGATGTGTTACTCCATTTCCGTACGACACTTTTGAGGTGACCTGGGCACAGGTTAAATTCCACCTCCATGGGCTATGGAACAATTCTGAGATATCCATAAACATACAGTCTTTACAGGCATTAGTTCAGCTCAGTTGGAGTCACTGCAGCTTCTGAGGTTGAAAAATAGCTTCTTACACTCTCTTCTTTTGTCTTGGGACAGGACTTTGGTCTATTATCAATTTGGGAGCAAATCTGAGAGTTGTGCTTATTTAGATTCTTGTCATTGCAGTCATGATATAAGGTGGGGATATTGGCTAATGGAAATTTTCCTGTGAATCATTTACACCCTTCCCAGGAGTACTGCTTGTGCCATGCTGTCCCTCCCAGTGTTAGGGAGATGTCCTTATCTGGCTCCTGCACTTTCTCAAGAACAAGATAATCAGAGCAAAGTAAACTTACAAAGGTAAACAATTTCCACGGCCTAGAGAAGTTGGCAGCAGAGCAAATTAAAGCCTAAATAAAACAATAAGACCTCTATTTCTTAAGGAAAATTAACTCATATGGGGCCACTATGGTGTCATATGGCCAAAGAACAAAAATATATAAATGTTGTATTATGGCAGAAATTGAATAATAACTTCAGCCTGAAGATAAATTTTGGGACTAATGACTATTAAAAGTTAATAATATGTGTCTTGTATCCCTGACCACTTCAAAACTTTAAACATGAATGGGTGTTAGATTTTGTCAAATGATTTTTCAGCATCTGAGGAGATGACCATGTGGTTTTTCTCTTTCAGTTTGTTTATACGGTAGATTACATTGATGGATTTCCATATATTGAACCACCCATGCATGCCTGGGATGAAGCCTACTTGATCATGGTGAATGTGTTCTTTGGATGTATTCTTGGATTTAGTTTGCAAATATTTTATTGAGTATTTTTGCATCAATATTCATAAATGAAATTGGTCTGAAATTCTCTTTCTTTGTTGGGTCTTTGTGCAGTTTAGATATAAAGGTGACTATAGCCTCATATGTGGATTAGTTTGAAGAGTATAGTATTGGTATTAGCTCTTCTTTAAAGGTCTGGTAGAATTCTGCACTGAAACCGGCTGGCCCTGACCTTTTTTTTGGATGCCAGACTTTTGACGACAGCTTCTATTCTATTTCCCTAGGGCATGTAGGACTATGTAATTTATTTACCTGATCTTGATTCAGTTTTGATAAATGGAATCTATGAAGAAAATTGTCCATTTCATTTAGATTTTCAAATTTTGTTGTTTACAGGCTTTTGAAGTAGATGCTTAATTCTCATTTGGAAGAAAAAATAGGATAGACACCAGAAGTGTTACAAGAGAAGGAACATGTCTGGAGCCCATCACAGATGTCTTCTAAAAGACCCCAACCAGTAGGGGATCAAAGAAGATGCAGAGACTCACAGCCAAGCTTTGGACAGAGTGCAGGGAGTCTTATGGAAAAGGGAGAGTATAAAAGAACGTGGAGGGGACAGGAGCTACACAAGGAGACCAACAAGGCCAATAAATGAATAAATGAATAAATAAATAAATAAATAAATAAATAAATAAATAAATAAATAAAGCAAGCAGTTCCCAGGAGGGACTGAAGAGACTTATGCATCAACCAAAGCCCATACATAGAGAAGACATAGACCCCTGCTCAGACAGCTATAGGCAGCTCAGTCTTCATGTGGGTCCCCTAGTAAGAGAAGAGACAGTCTCTGACATGAACTAGGTTATCTGCTCCTTGATCACTTCTCCCTGGTGGGGTGACCCAGCCAGCCCACAGAGGAAGAGGATCCAGGCAGTCCTGATGGGACCTGATAGGCTAAGGTGAGACAGTAGGGGAAGAGGACTTCCCCTAGCAGTGGACTAATGGAGAGGGATAGGGGAGGAAGAGGGAGGCAGGGTGGGACTGGGAGGAAATGAGGAAGAGGCTATAACTGGGACACAAAGTGAAAAATTGTAAATAACAGTAATAATAATAATAATAATAAACATGTTTAAATAAAAAAGTTAATAATAGACTGTTTGAGACATGGCAATATGCCCAGGATGGTTTGAATGTTTTCTTTGTGTCTAATGCTTTTGAAACTGCAAGATCTACCAGCCTGAGAATAGGCTGTCATACTTCAGCAAATATACTCTTAGCAGTATGAGACTGTTAAAAATTGGGTCATAGGATTAATAAGAAAAATGATTATAAAATAATTCTGTTTTGTCATGGTTTATAAATGATGATTAAACTTATGACCAAGAAAAAAAAATATTAAAACACGTGCATGGGGACAAAAATGAGTTACAGTAAAACAATGGCCTTGGGAAGTCTAACAACTTGGAACAGTTTCTCAACTCTGTAGGGTAGGTCAAAAGACCTTTTCTTTTTACAGAATAGCCTAGGTTGTCTGCAAATCAGAAATTTATTTTATTAATTTTACCAAATGAAACCAAGCCATATTGTTTGAGCCGATTAGGAAAACTGCAGTTTTTACAATGTATTATGTCAGGATGATAAAGAGCCATGAAATGACTTAGTATACTCTAGACTACTGAGAAACCGTGAGGAAGATTTTGTGTTGTTTAAAAAGCAAGGGAGAAGGTAAGACACTGGGCTAATAAAGAGAAGGGAAAGAAAGAATAGCTTGTCGAAAGTAAAAATGTCTGGTTAAACCAAGGGAGAGGAAATAGGAAAAGCCTGACCTGAGATATGTAAGAAGTTATAGAGAAGAAAAGAGGGGATGTGAACTGTATCTGAATTGTGCTTTGGTTTCTCAAACCTGCAAATACTAATTTGAAAAGAACCTGTAAAATATTTTGGAAATTTGACCATATTGGGTTAATTTTGGATGGTTTTCTTCATTTAAAAAGTTGGCGCTTCCTCAATGCAAAATGTTTGCAATAGAAATGGGGTCATGCTCTTAAAAGAGGGAAACGGCTGCAGCCCCATGTCAGCCCAGGGTTATACTAACGATCAGCTCAAGTCATTGTCAACCACTATATGAAATACATCCCCAACGAAAACAGAAACTTTAAAAGGCTGTAAATAGATTGATCAAATGATTTATTTGGAGCATAAAAATCTCTGCTCATAAGGTCTATTCAGGCTAACAGAGACAGATTTAAAGATAAATGTTTAAGCTCCTTGTTTTTACTAGAAATATTAAGAGATAGTCTTTTTCATTACTGCTGAAACATTGGACTTAATGTACCTGATCTTCCTTTGCTTCATTTTGTTAACTGAAAAGATAAAAAGGGGGGATAGTAAAATAACATAGAAACAATAGAAAAAAGGGTAGATTATTTAATCTACTCTTATACATCTTTGTATATTAATATAAAATTGGGGAACCCTCTTGGATACTGAGCTGCCTTGGGCTTTTTCTGTGCAGGGGTTCTAAGTTATCTCCAGGCATGGTCCTTGTTTGGGGTATCAGTCTTGGAAAAGAGCCCTGTGCACAAATTTTTTGGTTCTGTTGCTCCCCTTGTGGAGCTCCTGTTCCCTCCAGGTCTTTCTATCTCCCTCTTCTTTCATAAGATTCCCTGAACTCTGCCCAAATTTTGGTTATGCATCTCAGCATGTTTTGATACCTCCTTCTTGATTAGCTTCCTTAGGTGTACAGATTTTAGTATGATTATCCTATATTATATGTCTAATATCTACTTATAAGTGAGGATATACTGTGTGTGTCTTTCCGCTCCTGGGAAACCTCACTCAGGATGATCTTTTCTAGATCCCACCATTTACCTGCAAATTTCATGATTTTTTGTTTTTAATTGCTGAGTAATATTCCATTGTGTAAATGTACCATAATTTCTGTGTCCATTCCTTAACTGAGGGACATCTGGGTTGTTTTCAACTTCTGGCTATTACACATAAAGCTGCTATGAATATGACTGAACAGCTCAGTATCCAAGAGGGTTCCCCAATAATAGGATCAGGGGCCATCTCTGACATGAACTCATGGGCTGGCTCTTTGACCAGCTTTCCCTGAGGGGGGAGCAGCCTTACCAGTCCGCAGAGGAAGACAAAGAAGCCAGTCCAGATGCGACCTCATAGATTATGGTCAGATGGAAGGGAAGGAAAACCTCCCCTATCATTAGACTGGGGGAGGGGCATAGGAGAAGAGGAGGAAAGAAGGGTGGGATTGGGAGGGGATGAGGGATGGGGCTATAGCTGCGATACAAAGTGAATAAACTGCAATTAATAAAATAAAATAAATTATAAAAGTATAAAATTAAGGTTATATTTTGGTTACAATATACTATGTATCAACACTTTTTAAGGTATTGTACTATGTAATTCTTTAAAATGATATCTACAGTTCTAGTCCTATTGGAAGCTACTATCACAAACTGTTTAGGATAATTAATGAATGCAAACCAATAGTCAATCAAACTTATGGGTTTTTTAGGTACTAATTCAGTTAATCACAGGTGTTGTATTGGTAAATACAAACTTTAACATTATTCATATTTTAAAATTGTTTCCCAATCCAATTTGTCTTTTTTAATAAACTTAAAAAGATTCTTGTAAACTTCAGAAAATGACTTGGATCCACCTTCCACAAGTCAAATGGACTCCAGAGAAGCACACCTACTTTTTCCTAAAATTGGAAATTTTCCCCTGGTCTTGGGAATCCTCCTCTTCCCCAATTACTAGGAAGTGTTAATTCTGTTCCTAGTCTACATTTGTCTCAGCCAATTTCACTTGGTTGACAGAGTCCATCTAGGTGATCCTGAAGACTGATAACTGCTGAGCCCTGGACTTTCTGAAAGGTGATGTAAACCAATCCAGGTGATGTGATGGCTTTTCGTCTTTCAACTGGATCAACCAATCAGATGCTTCTGATAAATGGCCCATTGCCCACCCTTTGACTAGCATTTCAGCCTTCTTGGGCCTCTGATAACAACATCCTGTGTCAGCTTTAGAAAGTTACAGAAAAAGAAAATGTCATCCACTGTCCCACCTAGCAGGCTGAAATGCTATGGCATAAGGGCCTAATGGGTTCCTATACTGTCAATTAACATAGCCAAATGGGCCCTTAGTCCTGTTCCTCCTTGTTGCAGAATTTAATCTCTTATATAATGAACAAAAAACAACAGCAAGAACAACCCATTATCAAAGATTTGAACCAGGTACATAAAGACAGGGAGGAATAACAAGCCTGCTCCTTTTGTTTAGTATAACTATGGCCATCTTTGTTTCAGACCTAAAAGGCACATCATCTTCCGTCTGCTGCTGATATGGAAAATAAGAATCTCTGTATAAGGTCAGGTTGACCAAAAAGTACGTTTATGTTCGGCATACTCTGTGGCCTTGTTCCTAGAACTTCTCCAACCGTAAGTGTAGCTGGCCCTAACCATAAACATTACTTGGACAATCAAATTATAGGTCAGCTATAACTGCTTGTCTAGATAAAAAAAAAGAAAAGTTGAGTTAGTCTACTGTGCCCCCATCCCTTTGCCCCAGTGTGAGCTAATTGTGGTTTTCACCCTTTAAATATCCAATACAGATTCCCCTATAGGGCTCTATTCAGATCCCAAACTGACTGCCTCCCTCAGCTCAGAAAATAAAGCTTTCATTTTAGGCTTCTGTATCAAGTTTTCTTGGCTTCCACCCTGAACCCAACAATGGCTGCCTGATGTGAAGTCAAGCCTAGGAATGCAGCAGGGAATACTTCAGGGAGAAGTGAGTCCTTCTTTCCCCAGAAAAAAAATCATGTGTCTCAGGCAATCATGGTGGAGGATTGGAGTGAGAGCGAGTTTATTTTGTGAATCAGGAACATTAGAAAACTTGGACAGTGGGAGGGGTTTGGGGCATGAATGTATTTGACTCACTAGGGCTAGGAGTGCT